AGAGTTGTTTCTGGAGGGGGCAGGTAACACTAGAGACAGGAAGAAGACATATTCAGGAAGTAAAATTGGTAAGTCTTTTTGACTAGTGGCAAAAGAAAAAGAAGCTTTTGGTTTGGGCAATGGAGATGCCAGTGATGTCTTCAACTGGAATAGAAAATGTTCCAGGTAAGAGGAATGAGGAGTTCCATTTTGGACAAGTTACCAGTGAGACATCCGGATAGAGACATCCGGTTGGCAGCTAGGCACTGGGGTCTGGAGCTCTAAAATGCAGTATAGCTAGAGATACAGATTTTTAGTGCAACTTGTAGATGAGAAACCGAGACACAAGAAAGGATAGGTTTGCCTAAGAAGAATGTAGAGTATGAGAAGAATGCCTAGAACAGATCCCAGAAGTACTCTAACATTCAAGGAGCTGCTAGAGGGGCTGCAAGGGAAACTGACAAGGAACAGAGCAGGAGAAAAACCAGGAGACCATGTTGTCAGAGAAGCCAAGGCAGGGGAAGATTTGACCAGTGGGGGGAAGCAAAGGTGGGGGAAAAAAAGCCTCCAGGTCAGGTAAGATAAGGAGGACATAGGCAGGATGCAACAGGGACAAAATGAAGGGTGCAGCCAAGGAGAAATGAAGGCATTCAGAGGAAGAGCACACTTCCCCTGGGCCAGTCTTCAGTGGGACTTGCATCTTGCTAATGAAACCAGTCTAGCTTCTTGAATAGTTCCCTAAACCTGACTGTACATGAAATAAATCAAGAGGAGGCTCAGGAGAAAAGATTGTTTACAATTTTTTGGAATAATGCACATTGCAACTCACCTTCACTCACCAGTTAACATATGTGGATAATGGTTGACAACAAGATGTCCAAGTGGTTCCTGAGTAGTGAGTTTCAGCAGAACAATCTGGAACAGAGAGGGAAATTTTTTTTTAAAGGACAGAGGAGAAGATAAAAATGATCTAAAAGACCCCATCAGAGGACAGCTTCAAACAATGTGGCCGTGCTGTGTATGATTAGAAAACCACAAGAACAGATGTATTAGCTTGGTGAACAAGAGTCAGAAAAGAAATGACTTTTTATGTTTGTTTTGTTTTAGAGGGGAAAAATGGCTTTTGGCAAATTCTAAGCTTAATAGACTGCCAAGCATAGTTTTTAAATGATGACTCTAGATACACATTTTTACACATAAAGAACCATCTTTATGTACCCTGTGTGGTAAGGTTCTACATTTAGGTTTACAATAAATCCATTACACAAGAACAAGACCTGGTCTGACAGCATATTGTGTGGAAAAGAGCTGGGTTTGTAAAATGATCACAAGTTTAGCATAAACAAACAGTGTCATGTGGCTGCTAAAAAATGCAAATACAACTTTGGTTTCCTTGAATGGAAGTATCCAGTTAATAAAAGTAATAGTCCTACTGCATCTGAATTGATTCAAACAAATCTGGACTATGTGATTGTTGTTTAATTGCTGTCGTTACTTTTAGTTGTCATTCATATTTCCTTTTTGTTATTGTTATTTCCATTGCATTGATTCCAACTCCTGGTGACTGTATGTGTGCAGAGTAGAACTGCTCCATAGAACTTTCAAGGCTGTGACCTTTCAGAACCAGACTGAGGCCTGTCTTCCTAGGTGCCTCAGGGGGGTTCAAACTGCCAACCTTTAGCTAGTAGTTGAGTACTTCACCGTTTGTGCCACCCAAAGTTACCTCGGTTTACTTGAAAGTGTCAAATTGTAAAAGTACCATCTCTTAGGTATCCCTTTCTTTCCATTCCCACTACCAGGTTTCTTTAAATTATCCTCCATGGCATAGCATGGTGGTTAAGTATGGAATGTGAAGCCAGATTGAATCTGTTTGTTTGACATTGGGGAAGTTACTTACCCACAATTTCTTCATCTATAAAATGCAGCAAATAATAGAACCTATCTCTCTTGAGTTGTTAAGGAACTTTCTCCAATGATGGCAACGTTCTACATCTATACTGTCCAGTATCATAGCCATATACGTCTAGAAAACCAAAAAACCAAACTCATTGCCATCAAGTCGAATCCAACTCATACCAACCCCCATTGGGTTTCCAAAGCTGTAAATCTTCCTCCCATGGAACAGGTGGTGGTTTTGAATGGCTGGCCTTCTGGTAAACAGCCAAATGCCTTAGCCCCAGTGCCACCAGAGCTCCTTATTATGCCACCAAAAAACAAAACAAAAAACCCATTAGCTTCGAGTCAATTCTGACTCATAGTGACCTCCATGGGTTTCCAAGACTGTAAACCTTTACAGAAGCAGATTGCCTCATCTTCCTTTCATGGAATAGCTGGGGGGTTGGAATCCCCAACCTTCTGGTTACCAGTCAAATGGCTTAGGCGCTGCACCACCACAACTCCTTACTACACCACCAGAATTCCTTCTATATAAAAACTTGAATGTGGTTAAAGCCACTAAAGAACTTACATTTCTAATTTCATTTAATTTTAATTAATTACACTTCAAATAGCTAGTAACTACCATACTGGAAATGAGCACTAGTGGTACAATAGTGAACTATTCAGCTGCTAACTGGAAGGTTCGAACCCACCCAACAGCTTTTCAAAAAAAAGACTCGATGATCTGCTCCCATAAAGAATACAGCCTAGGAAACCCTGGGAGCTCTGGCGGTTCAAATCCACCAGCCACTCCTCGGAAGGAAGACTGGGCAATCTACTTCCATAGACATACTGCCCAGGAAACCCAACAAGGGGTTGCTATGAATTGGAAGATGACTTGATGGCAGTCAGTATGCAACACCACTGCCTATGGGACATCTAATCTAACGCGCTATCCAGTTAATTCCTACTCGTAACAACTCCATGTGTTATGGAGTAGAACTGCCCATAGCGGTTTCTTGGCTATAATCTTTACAGAAGTACATTGCCAGGTCTTTCTCCCACAGAGCCATTACCAAAAAAGAAAAAAACACTGCCAGCAAGTCAATTCCGACCCAAAGTGACCCCCATTGGGTTACCATGGCTATAAACCTTTACAAAACCAGATTGCCTCATCTTCCTCCCACAGAGCAGCTGGTGGGTTTGAACTGCTGACCTTCATCATTAGCAGCCAAATGCTTTACCTAATAAGGTACCAGAGCTCCTCACAGAGCCATTGTTGTTGTGGTTGTTATGCACTTTGGAGTCAGACCTGACTCACAGCGACCCCTCCTTGGGTTTCCCAGGCCCAACCTTCCTTCCGAAGAGTGGCTGGCGGGTTTCAATCACCAGTCTTCTGGTTAGCAGTCCAGTGCCTTAGGCACTATGCTGCCAGAGCCAATGGGTGGGTTCAAATCGCCAACGGTTCAGTACCAGCCAAGCACTTAACAGTTTTCACCACCAAGGCTTCTTGAATCGCATATAATTTTGTTAAAAGAACAGGGCACAGGGCAGCACAAAATCACTTTAGCACCTGCCATTTCTGAGGAGGCAAGTACATAAACAGTGACTAGACATGTCAGTGGAAGATATAGCTCAGCTGGTGGGTTTTTTTGTTTTTTAAAGAAAGAAAAATACCTCCTTCTAACACCACCAAAAGGATTCTAACTTGATTTCACCTGCATAAAAATATGAGAAGCCAAAACGGGATTTTCTATAACATTAAATATACCATGAGTCCCACATCTAGCCAGCCAACAGATGCCCTGACTAGAAAAGTAACCTTTAAAAACTTTTCATCATCTGAAAAACAAAACAAGGGTTGGTAGTTCCTCGACCCTCTCATTTTTCATTTGGCAGAAAGGAAATTTGAGAGAGCCTACTATGTGTACTAGACACGGCCACATACGTTAATGCATATAATTCTTTGTCGTTTTATTTCTTTTATCCCCAGAGCAAATAAATAGAAGCTCAGAGAAGTTGTGACTTGCCTAAGAACCTAAAACTAGTTAGTGCCAGAGATGAAATTCAAAACGAGGACCCTGGATTTCCAATCCCACGCTCTTTCCAACAGATGAGAATGCCTCTCCCATCACGAACAAAAGAATTCCTGCCTGCCTTTTGAGATTCTTCATAATCTGGTCATCTAGATAATTATTTCCAGTTAATGCCTTAACTCTTACCGAACTGGTGTCATCTCTGCTACATTTACACGCTCCTTTCCTTCTAACATTACCCTTCCTAAAGCTGTTCAAATCTCCTTCCGTCCTTCCGCTCTCCTGAATTTTTACATCACTTATGTTGCTGTTGTTACGGGCTGTCAAGTCGCACCTGACTCATAGCGACCACTCCTTGGGTTTCCGAGGCAGTATCACCACGGATAGTAGATTGCCCTACCTGCCTTCTGAAGAGTGGCTGGTGGGTTTGAACCACCAACCTTCTGGTGGCAGTCAAGTGCCTTAGGCACTACGCTACCAGAGCTCCCACATCACTTATAATGACAAATTAATGTAGCGCTCTCTGTTCCATTACTTTTCCCTTAAATAGACCGTAATTTCCTTGAGGTTAGGGACCGTACTAAATCTTTGGGGCTGGCGAGCCTGACAAATTTCCTCCGATTTCCCTTTGAGCTGGGCAGAGTGAGTACTTCTGAAATAGATCAATTACCTGAACTCCACAGACAAATACTTCTTGATTAATTAACGTCAGCTCCAAACTCTCAAGCTTTACTCTTTGCTTAAAACTACCACGCACGAATAAATTAAGTAGTACTCAGTGGCCAATCGAAGCCGCAGTCCCGCCACGTAACCCTCCCCTTCCGCTCCGTCAAGCCACGCCCAGCTTGCTGGTTGCCGATTGGGTGTGGCCCAGCCTGGTGGCCGATGGGGCGTGGCGTGCGTGGTTGAAGGCAGATCTGAGAAGAGGAACCTACGCTCTGGGTCAGACTCGGTAGTCTCCGGTAATCCTCGATAGTTTCCGTCAATGGTCTCCTCCTCCGCCACTTTACCTCGGGTATTTCCGGTCCTTGTCGGGCTTTTCCGTCTAGCTCCCGCTCGTAGCTTTCCACTTCGGGTATTTCCGTGTTCTGCTCGGAGGGACTCGGCAATCGCTCGGCCTCCCCCATCCCCCGGTAACGGTCGCTGGTGAGTTTAAATGAGCCGGGGCTGGCCGAGCCGGAGCCGCTACGGGGGGGGGGCCTGAGGCACTGCAGAAAGTGGGCCTGAGCCTAAAGGATGACGGTGCTGCAGGAACCTGTCCAGGTAATGATAACACCTTCTCTGAGGCTTGGCTCGCAGCCTCAGCCGGGAAGCAGCGTATGGCCACTCCGCGGCCTGGTGCGGCCTAGGCCGAGCTGCTCCCGCCTCCCCTTCAGCCGGGTCCTGTCTGTCTTTTAGTCCGTCCGGCGGCCTTACCCGCAATCTAAGCCATGATACCCCTGGTTCTACATTACTTCTAGCCCAATCTGAGCTGGGTGCAGCGGTGATACCGCCTTTCCCCTCGGAGCCAACGTTTGGCCAGCCCCTCCTGTCAGTCTCGGGGCCTGGCCGGCCCGGGGGTGAGAGATGAGGGGCCGAAAACTCGCCCAGGTGCTCTCCTGCCTATGGGATGGTTGAGAAGCACGTTTGATCAGAGCTTGTGTGATCCTCTCGACGGTGGGGCAAGTTTGCGGGATTTTGTTTGTTTTTGTTTTATGTGAGGAGGGGGAGGGTAAGATCGGTATTTTTAATAATTTCTATTTTGGTAGCCGACTTCCTTGCCCACGTTGCTTTTCTCATTCAGTGCATTTCCACAGGACAGTTGTCCGAGAAGACGACTCCAAGGCCCAGTGCTGAGGTGCAAGCACCTATTCAAAAGGAAGGGGGGTAGAAACGGCATATCTGGGTGTGTGTTTGTTTTTTCCATTACCTGTGATGGGGTCAGGAGTATTTTATTGTGCATGTTTAGGAGGTGTTTGGGAAACGAAGACTAATAATGACTTTTCCATCCATTCCACTGTCCTTCCCATACCGAGGTGTGCTTTGACGCACAGGGCTCTGTTGACATCAAAGAAACCCTATTGGATTTTGCATGTGTGATGCAGCGCCAAGTCATTTTCCCCTTGCCATCCGAAGAAACTGAGCCTGGTGTCTCTTGGTGATGGACCAAGTTTGGGGGACTTTCAACGCACTGTAGTATCTTTGACTTGACTAGAAGAGTTGATCTCTTAACAACTGCTGTCATAGAATGGTGGATTTTCTTTAAAGTTATAAAGTGAACTGAATTTTAGAAAATTGCTTCATATTGTCCCTAATAAACCTGGTAGCATAGTGCCTAAAGCACTTGACTACTAACCAGAAGGCTGATGGTTCAAACCCACCAGCCACTCCTCGGAGGGAAGATGGGGCAATCTACTTCCGTAGTGATACTGCCTTGGAAACCCAAGGAGGGGTCGCTATGAGTCGGGTCTGACTTGATGGCACATAACAACAGCAAAACAACAAGCCTGTGATACTTAATAGTAAATGTTTTACTACATCACTACTTCCGTATTTCCATAATTTTTCTTCACAGCATGAAAAACTCATATCTCCTAGTTTGCCTTCTTCCCTAGTTCTTTACATACAGCAGCTATTAGTGTTTAAATTGATGTATTGTGGTATTCTATTTTAGGAACTTTACCTGTTTACAAGTTAGCTGTACCAGTGCTTCCAGAGCTATTTCTGGCCATCCAAATTCCTCTTACCAGTAGAGTCCCTTTTAAGAGGTTTTTTTTTTTTTTTTTTTTTTTGAGGCCTAATGTGAAATTGCTATCTGTGTATTCTTAAACATACTACTTAATTTGCTTTATTTATTTCGTGTCATTATGATTTTTTATTTGAATAACTAATATACATTTAGGGAGCTTTGGGAGCCTACTGCCTAAGGCACTTGACTGCTAACCAGAAGGCTGGCAGTTCAAACCCACCAGCCACTCCTTGGAAGGAAGGTTGGGCAATCTACTTCCATAGAGATACCGCTTCAGAAACCCAAGGAGGGGTCGCTATGAGTCAGATCCAACTCGACGGCACATAACAACAACAACAATATACATTTGCTTTTTCTAACCCCAAAAACTTGTAAGTGGTAAACTAGTTTAATTGATAGCATATAACCACTATTTAGTAAAATATCTACCTGCATAAAAGCATGGAAAAGAAAATGTGTAACCTGTTCTGAGATAGTGCCCATCAGATTTCTTCTGTTTCCTTAAAGTATTCTTAGCAGTAATGCACCAGTTTCTCCATAAGGAAAAGATAAGGCAGTCTGCTTCCATAAAGGCTTAAAAGTCGAATTAAACCCTCTCCCCATCTAGCTTTTTACATTCTGGGATAGTGGTAGTAAGGCTATGACCAAGTAAGAATTTGGATTGTAATTTATAGTTTAAAAGGAAGCCACTCAAGAAGGGATCTTGAGCAATGGAAGGACAAGCACCTTTGGCTATGGTAATAAAGATCAAATGATGAGGGATAGTGCTGAAAATGGGAAGGAATTACTATGGAAGAGAATGAAAATAGGACAGGTGAATATGATTTGTTTTTGTAAATATTTTTTTGAACTGTACTATCCATTTGCATTATATGGGAAAGAATGAGAATAAGTTGGAAAATTACTTTGTTTCCTTTCTTGGGATGCCTCAGGGTCCATAATATTACTCAGCATAGGAAAAAAAATGGAGTGGAAGGATGAGCAGACTGTTTTCTGCTTTTTATTCCTTGTTTAAAGTTTTAACTTGGAAGAGCCAGTGTGATATAGCATATATGCCTAAACATAAATGAATCACTTCTCCCTCAAAATTGCCTTTCATAGAAAAGTGAGTTTACAAAAATCTCTCATATTTTGAAGCAAAAGTTCTATCAGTTATTTTATTTTATTTAATAGTAACTGTTTGGGAAATACACATTAGCCTAAATTACTTCAGTCAGTACTAAGTTGGATGTTTATAAGTCATCTGATTGAATTGGTTTTTCATAAAAAGCCAAAGACATACAGGTATAACAATTATTCCTACGGGAGCACTTCATAGAAGTGTTAGATGAAGTTTAAATAAGGCTTAAAAATCACTTTAATAAGTGATGTAGTAGGTGGGTACTAAATATACAGTATCAAAGAGAAGAGCACTAGATACTGTAGGAGTACTTTCAGCTTGGGATAAGTTGTCCAGGGACATCATCTAACATGGATTCAGAGACTATCATATTTCAAATCATTTAGAATTGAGGATGGAAGATAGTGCTAGATAACTGAAAATGGAACTCTGGTGGTTCAGTGGTTAAGGCTTTGGCTGCTAACCAAAAGGTCGGTGGTTTAAACCCACCGTGTACCATGAGAGACAGATGAGGCAGTCTGCTTCCATGAAGATTTACAGCTTTGGAAACTATGGGGCAGTTCTACTCTGTTGCATAGGGTCGCTGTGTTGGAATCAACTCATTGGCAGTGAGGTTTTCTTTTTGTTGTTACTGTCTAATAATAACAGATACTGATAGCAGAGATGCAGGTGAACAGTTTGAATAAAATGGTTTTATGTAATAAGGGTAGAAAATTTTTTTCTAAGTATATTTTGTATATTACTAAATTAATAACTTAGTAGGAGTTTAACTATTTGAGATACATTCCAAAAAGTTGATATATTTGAGTTGGCTGAAATGAATTTGTTTTTGAAATGTTCTTTGTGGAAATGGGGAATTGGCTTATATTTAGGTATAACATGTTGTTGTTGTTGTTATGTGCCGTTGAGTCAAACCCGACTCATAGTGACCCCTCCTTGGGTTTCCGAGGCAGTATCACTACGGAAGTAGGATTGCCCAGCCTTCCTTCCGAGGAGTGGCTGGTGGGTTTGAACCGCCAGCCATCTGGTTAGCAGGCAAGTGTCTTAGCCACTATGCTACCAGAGCTCCTATTGAAAACAGTGGTACATAGGACTTAAACTGAAGAATAAGCTTTAGGCTGAAAAACGGAATTGCAAGTAAATGATAATTTAATCTCTTTATGGACTTGACATAGCCCTTGTTGTTTAGTAGGAAGAGAAGAACATTAGACAAATAATCTCAAATCAGTAATTACAAACTTTGATAATAGGAGCTCTGGTAGCGTAGTCCTAGGGCACTTGACTTCTAACCAGAAGGCTGGTGGTTCAAACACATCAGCCACTCCTCGGAAGGAAGGTTGGGCAATCTACTTCCATAGTGATACCGCCTTGGAAAACCAGGGAGGGTTCTCTATGAGTCGGTCCAACTCGATGGCTCATAACAACCACCACAACAGATAGAGTTTTCTAGCAGAAGGGGCCTGACCTAAGCCCAGGTGTCAGGTTTGCATTTAGACCACTGAAGGAGATACTACAAAGCACCAAAAAGTTAAGAAGCAGATTGAATGAAAAAATCAAGTTGGAAGAAATGTGTGGAGCACCTGCTATAGGCTAAGCGTAGAATAGTGTAAGAGACATTCTGAAACCACTAGAAAGAGTGTCAGCCAAGTCCTTTTTGAGGAAAGATATTTAAGCTGAGGTCTGAAGGTTGAGAAGGAAGCTAATTTGAAGAGCATTACGGGCAGAGAAAATAGCATGTGCAAAGTCCCTAATCATAGCAAAGCTTGGCACAGGAAGAACTGAAAGAAGACCACGATGGCTAAAGTTGCATAGTAAGGGGAAGGAGATGGCAAAAGATGAGGTAAGGAGGGGCCAGAGGTACAGCATTGAGTTTTCATTCTAAGTGTAATGAGAAATCACTGAAGGATTTTCAGCAGAAGGTTGACATGATTTGATTTGTATGTTAAGTTCTGACTACTCTATAAAAAATGTAATGTGGGGTGGGCGTGGAAGAGCAGGAATACAGCTGTAGTCTCAGAGATGATGATAAACTAGACTAAAGTGGTAGCAGTGGAGTAGGAAAGGCAGGAGAGGAGTGGATGGATTTGAAAGATGTTTTGGAGGTAGAAATTCAAAAGATGTTTGGGAGGTAGAATGATGAGACTCAAATTTATTGGCTATGTTTGTGGAAAGGACTCAAGAATGACTTCCTGGATTTTATTGGTGGTGCCATTTAAAAAATGGAGACTCCTTTAGTGGGATGGGAATGGGAAGCAGATTTGAAGGGGGACAATTAAATATTCTGTTTTAAGCAAAATAAGATGAAGATATTTGTAGGATTGCCAAGTAGAGACTTGGAGACGTAACTCCTAACCTTTTTAGGGTTCTAATATTGCTTGTTAAAGTAGATGGTCAGCACAAAAGAGGGAGACCTTC